GCCCCGGCGCGCGGTCGTGGGCGAGCGGCGCGGAGGGGCGGTGCCATCTCGCGGACCGGCGCTACCTCGCGGAGCCGTGCCTGGCCGCCTCGCGGTCCGCCCCGTTCCCGGGACTCCGGAGACCGTCCTTCCGCAGGACCACAAGTCTCCGGCTGTGTCAGCCGGAGTCGGTGCCAGCCGTTTCATCGTCGTGGCCCCCCACCCCGGGAGCTCTGGGAGCCCGGGTGACCGCGTAGGTCAGTTTCCGTGGCCGGTTCCTGTGTGAGCGGGTTCCCCCCCTGCCTGGTGCTCGGGGAAGATCTGTCCGCCCCTGGTGGGGGATGCGCGGGCCTCTCCCGCGCGTCGCCGAGGCCGGTCAGAGTCGTGGCGTGGCGATGCTGGGCTCCCAGCCCGAGTTCGGTTTCTCCGCGGCCGCTGGCTCTCCAGCGCTGCAGCGAAGTTAGTTGTTAAAAAGTAGCAAGATGTTGGCGTTCGTTGCACTTTCACTCCGGGTGCTACGACTTCGTGCTGGTGCCACATGCATTCTTTACCAAGTCATCAGCTGCGTGCTTTCCCGGGACTTGAATTTGTGCATCGTAACTTTTAGTTTCCTACTACCGTGAGGAGACGATTCTCAGTAGAAATCACGAGCTGCCCATGTGACCATCTCAGAGTGTGCCTCGTGGTTAATTCGACAAGCATGGAAGACTATCAAAGGGATTCAGAAACAGTATGAAAGATTGCCGCTGCACAATAGAAGCAATGATTCATTTACCCCGTGGCCATATTGATTGGCAGAAGGCGCTGAAAGGGTCTTTCTGATTTAGTTAATCCTAGTTTTTAATTGTCAAAGTCGTTGCTTTATGCAGACTAGGTTGTGAAGTTGAACGGTTGGTGTTGTGATATTAAGTTAACGTAAACAGGGCTGCTCCAATGTAGCAAATTTAGCTAGTAGGCTCTTGTGGATTTGATAATATAATTAGCTTTAACATCAGTGATGTGTTTACCCTGAAAGCTTCAGCCTTAGCATTGTAGTTGATGCATTCTGGATAGAGTTCGGAATATCCGCACCTCTTTGCTAAGCATTTGGAAGATAATTTTGTTGACTTTGAGGGCTAGATGTTCGCCTACTAATCCTGAGAACAACGAATTTTACGCAGCCAGTATTGTAGGTATAATTTCTGAATTCCCCAGTTGAAACTTTAAAGATCTCTGCGTCAATTACCGAATGGTTTACAAAATCCACCCTCTTCTCATCCGCTAGTTCTACAGGTGGGGAGGTGGGGAGGAGAAAGTTGTCGGTAACAGTTTTAAAATTTATCGCCTTTTTGTTTTCTCCCTGGCAGCATTGAACATTTGATATTCAAAACAGGAGTTAACTGCCGCCAAGTTGAGTAGATTTATCTGGAGCAGTTGTTTTAACTCTGTGTAGGCTTTTGCCAACGTCTGTTTATCAGATGACACTTGCTAAACATCTCAGCAGAATCTTGTCAGCAGAAATTTTTGGTGGGTGGCTAATCCTTGTCTCTAGAGGCCCTTCAGTCTTGGAGGTATTATTCAAGCAGGACTTAAACCTGTAAATCAGAGCAGCTAGAAGTTGTTTCTAAAAAGCATCACTCCCCCCACTCTTCCCTTAGGACAGAGGGAAGTACTTGTTTTGAATCAACAAGTAGGTAGGGGAATACAGCCAGGTTTGTGTTTTTGTTTTGTTTTTTTAGGATAACATGGCCCAGTGCCTGTTAAATTTTTCTGTTCGTGGTTTTATTTTACAGATACATCTGTATATTTAATCTTTTCAAGTTGGAACTTTAGCCCTTTCTTACCTCTTCACATTAAAAGCTGAGCTTTTGTACTTTGTGTATTCACTGAGAAAAGTAGTAGAAAGTAGAAATCAGCTTAATGAATATTATGTGAAGGAGAGAATGAGCTAGCAAGTGCACATGAGAAATTTGAAGTGGTTGGAAACCCTGTCAGTTCTTTCAAGCCAAGTCTGGTGGTAATCAGAACTTTTTGAATGACTAGTAAATTCTTTACAGTTCCTAGAAAGAGGGCAGGTGTGAGCCATGTAAGCACCCAATTTTACCAATCTTGCCAGAATTCATTAATGAAGTGTTAGACACCATCTGGTACTTTGTACAATTTAAATTGATGATTATGATGTCATATAAGTATCTTAACAGGATCCTCTTGATCCTGGATCAAGAAATGTTGGATTTTTCCCTCACTTATCTGACTTAAGCCACTATAAGGTAGGCAAGTATAAGAAATAGTTCTAAAGCTTTTTCACTTAAGTATAGTTGACATACAGTGTTGTTAGTTTCAGGTGTACATCCTGGTTATTGCACATTCTGTACATTAAGCTATGCTTACCATGATAAATGTAGTTACCGTCTGTCACTATATATAATTTTTAACACTTTCAGTAAGAGGAAGTACCAGGTCACTCACTTTCAGTTCTTGTATTAGGCAGCAAATAGGAAATATCTGTGTAGTGAAAACAGTCTTTAACTGTCCATTTTCCTATCCTATGATAGTGGAAAGTAACCACATGTTTTTACTTTGTTAAAGCTTTTCTTTAAAGAGACACTTCTGACTATATGGTAGATAACAGGTCAGTATTATTATGTATACCTAATTTGATTAAGTTTGGAAGATAATTTTCAAATGTGAAATCAAAATGGAAAACATTTAAATACCTTTTATCTAAAATTTAAGGAATTTTATCATTAAAAGGTAACAAGCTCTGTGTTATTTTTGCTATTTAGAACTGGATTTATCAAATATGTGGACTTTTCTGCCCTTGGCTTCTACAGATCCAAACTGCTTGAAACAGTAGTTAATAATTTTCAGAATCTGTCAAGTTCAAATCCAAATCAGGGTTGCATCTAAGAGTTCTTGGTTATTGCAGCACCTAAAATGTATAGCAACCTAAGATTAATTTAAACAATTTCATGAAGCAGGGCCAACAAGCTTAGATAATTTTCACAGATTTCGATTAACACTTTAAACCAAATAAAGGTAAAATAAATACACAGCAAGTAGGATTATTCTTTTATTATGTTTGTAGGGCATCCAGGTTCGTGTGAGTACATGACAAATACGGGGAAGAGAAAATAGTGTAAATATGTCAAATATAAAGTAAATAATTTGGAATAAACATTTTGACATTGACTTCAGTGGTTTACAAACTGTAGTGTGACATTACAATTTTAGCTACTTTATCATTTCTCCTCCAAAGGAAGCAATGCTATCAGGGCACAAAGGCTTATTGGAAGGAAGTTGTAAAGTTTCACTGAATTAATAATTGACTTTTTAAAAAAGATTTTATTTATTTATTTGAAAGAGCACACAAGTAGGGGGAGCGGCAGGCAGAGGGAGAAGGAGGCTCCCCACTGAGCAGGGAGCCCTGATGTGGGACTCGATCCCAGGACCCTGGGATTATAACCTGAGCCGAAGGCAGACGCTTAACGACTGAGCCACCCAGGCGCCCACAAATTTATATGTGTACATATGTACATACATACAGGTGTATCATCACATTAGAGAACTCATTATTTGCTAGGAGTTAGTAAGATTAAGGGCAAAATTTATTTTCTTGCTGTTGCCATGTTTTTACATAGTAACTTCAATTTTTATTTTCCTCACTTTAAGAGAATGTGGTAATGGGGGGGAAAACTCACATCATTGAGCGCTAGCTACTCTGCAGTGCAGTGCTAACTAAGTGCACTACAGTTGTTTATGTTAGATTTAGTTTGTAAAATATGTTCATAAATTTAATTTTTCTCACTATTCAAATTCCTAGTATGCATTGTGTTTCAAATATTATTGTAATAATACCAAGCATAAAAGCGGTATATCTGAGAATTTTTAAAATCACAACATGTAGTCATGGTAAATTTTGAATAATTAGGTTCCCTTTGACTTTGATAGTACAAAAGCTATTTGACAATTGTAAGCCATAATTCAGAGCTCCCTGACTTTTTTTATTGTAAAATACACATGATATATATTTTTTTTTTTTTTACCATTTTTAAGTATGCTAGTCAGTGGCATTAAGTACATTCACATTGTTGTGCAAGCATTACCACTATCCATCTCTAGAACTATTTCATCATCCCAAACAGGAACTCCCCACTCCCTCCTCCAGCTCCTAGTAACCAGTATCCTATTTTCTATGGATTTGTCTACTCTAGGTACCTCCTATAAATGGAATCATATAATATTTGCCCTTTTGTGTCTGACTAATTTCACTTAGCATATGTTCAAGGTTTGTAGATGTTGTAGTGTGTCAGAATTTTCAACGCTGACTAATAATCCATTGTATGTATATACCACACTTTTTTCCATTCACCTGTCACTGGACACTTAGATTGCTTCCACCTCTTGGCTACTGTGAAGAATGCTGCTGTGAACGTGGGTGAGCAATTATCTGTTCAAGTCCCTGCTCTAATTCTTTTGGGTATATTGTGGGTCATATTTTAATTCTGTGTTTAATTTTTGAGAAACTGCTATACCTTCCTGACGTTTTAGGATGCCCAGTGAAATGTTTTTCTATGTATGACTGAATAAAGTTAGCCTGATATCTTTGAATCTTAACTTTTTAAATACTGTTAAGAACTCAAAGGACAAATTGTTTAGTATTTTGAGTTTATGGTACTCAGGTGAATTAACTGTTGAACTTTATTCTTTGATTTCTTTAGGAATTTTCTACTTTGATTCTGTAGAAATTAAACCTGAACAGTAAAGGAAAATAGCAATTCAGCTTACAATAGACCTCCAGCCAAATTTAGCATGTCACGATTGTCCTTTAGGCTACAAGTTTTAGGGTCTTTGCCAAAATGTCAAGAGTTGTGAGGACTACGGAATTTATCCACTGTATTGAATGGGCATTTAGTGGCATGGATGGACTGACTTATCAAGTATGGAGATCAGTTTAATTAGGTAATTTACAGTGTTTATAAAACAAAATATAAATTTCCTTTCTACAAAATAATTTAGAAGCCTAGCTTCCTCAGGAAGGATGGGAAATAGGCAAAACAGTCTGGAGTCTCCCAGTTTTTGAAGCTCAAAATATTTTTTGTCTAGTTATTTCCTTGAAAACATTCTCTTGGTCATTAAAAATCTCAGTGTATTTTAAAGAGAGAGCTTGGAATTGCATGAATGTGAAAAGAGCAGTTGAAAATATCCACAAAATAATGGTGAAAAATACTTGTTGATAGGCTATGGCTCAAATCCATTCTGATCAGCTGCATTAATG